TTAGATATTCTCTCAGAACAACATGAGAACTGCCTTGATGTCTTCGGATGCTTAACAAAGAATCTACAGTACATTCCTCTATGAACAAAAGGCTCTCAGCCTGCTGTTGATAGAAGATTCTACACCATCCAACAATCCCAGCATCCACAGACCAGGACCCTCCTGTCGGGGTGTCTATCTATAGCCCCGAACAGCTGTGATTCGGGATGTCCATTAACCACCCCGACTGGGAGGTGTACCAGATTCCGCCTGAACCGGAATCGGCCTCCTGAGGCGTCAGCGGCGTGCGGCCCAAGGGCACCCGCTCGCGGAATTGGCCCAAGCTGCTCTGGCCGGGAAAGACCTCGGAGAAGATCCGTTATGCTGGGAGTTTGGAGCTAGCCTACCAGCTCCCCTCTGGAGGAGGGTGAAGGTGAGGGTGAGGATGAGGGGATGAGGGTGTTCGGATGGTGAGGGTGAAAAAAGAACTCAAAAGCATGATTCGGAGGTCCTATCTGATGCTTCCAGTCCCAAGAGAAGAACACGAACCGATGATGCCGATGGCCGTGCGCGGAAGTGCTAAAAGTGGGGGTGCGGGGTAGGGAAAAAAGGTCCAGGCTTTGCCAGCACGTAATTTGAAAGATTGAAATAAGCGGCTGCTGATCCTGGAAAGGGCTAGTTTGGGAGTTTGCAAATGTCTTACAGTACATCCTCTTACCAAGAATCTACTAACAGAATCCAACGGATACCAAGGGCATCTAACGGATATGCAATCTTGGCATCCCCACCATGTAGACTCCACTGCCTTCTTCGCACCAGCCAAAGGACCATTCCAGCCAATACACCTAGCGCGAGCTCCGCGAGCCGAAAAATCCTCTGGTACGATCCCATGGCCTTGGGGATCCATGGGCCCAAGACTACACTCCTTGAAAGAATCAGTTCGGTTTCGACCATTGTCCTCTACAAAAGGGGTCTGCTTCTCTGACGGAAGGTATATTTGAATTCTCTACATCCCTACTATTGGGTGCCTTTATGGATCAACAAATGCCGACAGTACTGGGATGTACAGTTTGATTGATCATCAGTCAACAGTACAGTAGGTCAGAGATCCATGCCGTCCCAGCCAGAGGCCCCTTCACCCAAGGGTTGCCTTCAGGAATTTGGAGAACTTGGGCCACGCCAAGTTCTCGAGCACTGATCACACCCAAAGAAAACCAACGGCACCAACGGCACAACACATCATCTTGCCAGTTCCTTCGCCATAGCAGTTCGCCAGCGTTTGGTTATGGCTAAACAGCCATTCTTCTTCCCCCATAGCATTTGGCTCGCACTCCGCTGCACGGACCACGAGGATAAGCACCTCCACGCCCACATGATAAGCACCTCCAGGCCGGGTGCTGGTCGCCGCTGTGAAACGACCAGCCAAAGCACGAAAAAGCATGGCAAGCATGGGAAATATAAGAAGTCGCAAGGTGGACTGCTCAACCCGAAGTTTGGGAAATCTACTCAAACAAATGTCTGGTGGAAACATAGCCCTTGATCACGCGTGTTGGACTTGATCTTTCTAGAGTCCAAAAACTTGTGTTGCGTTCAGAAATCAGAAGACACTATCCTATCTAATCTATTTGATCATCCTAGACTTGACCCTGCCAACAAAGGGTCGTGAAGAGCTGTTCTTCTTCAGAAACATGATCAATGATCCGGAGTCCCAATCCACTGTATGAATCGTCGATGTGTCCCAAGCGACGAAGCGGGGCCGGACCGGGTGCAATGAAGTCCACCACCCATGACCAACCTAGTGTAGCTGTTAGGAGAAGGGTCATGGACATCGCCAAAGAGATACAACTGAATGACCATATGTGCAAGGGAACCTGGCATTAAGGAAGCCCCAATAAAACAGCCTATATACGTAGTTTTTCTCCGCAATACTAAGCACCTTTGATCTAGCCATGTGCTGCCCCAAATGCAGCACCCCAATTAAATCGACCCATCTGTCTCCTGCTGGATTGTTCACCAACCCTTATCACATAAATTAATCATAATTAATCTATTCGTTCAACTGTTCCCAACCCCATCCAAAGACATGTTTTGCTCATGCTTAGTTAGTCTTGGGGATCCCTCCAAGATTGAACCAATTCGCTGGGTAACTCAACGCCAGATTCATAGCTGGTGGTGCCAAACATGAAACATAGAGTATCATAGAGTCGATGCGCCTTGAAACCCTGGGGGGAAAGGCTTAGAGAAATCCGCACTTTCCATTCAACATAAATGCCAGTGGGATTTGGAAACTTGGTAAGTAAGAAATACTGTAAGCATCGGCAATTAACACCAGCACGAATCTCGAATGTCGCGTGTTTGACCGCTTGACCCCGAATGAAAAGAATCGCACATCGAACACTGAACATCCACAGCCATGAGGATGCCTGTTCGTATCCATTTTAATAGCGATGGCCTAAGGCGCACCGGACATCGCGATGGACACTTCCACGGCCATCGCGCGAACGAGCGGCGTCTGGCTTTGACTCACCGTGTTTTCCTTCCTTTGAGATCTAAGGAACCTGACCAAGCATCAATCAAACGTATTAAACGAAAAGGACAAGACTCGGAAACCTAGCAAACAAATGCAAGTATCCTTCCAAGTCCCTTTCAATCCATCAACAGTCAGTTAAGCAACACTCTTTTGCTCGAGTGCCCCCTGCCTCCCATGTTGGCAGCCCTTGTGAGGACGTTCAAAGCTGAAGCGCCATGGAGCTCATAAATGGACAGCGCCACCTCGCCCACTGCACCAGACCCCTCTGCCCCCCAAAGCAGGCACAGTGAGGGTGACGGTTCTATTGGTGCTTCCCAGGCATAGGTAAGGACTGGTCAATCCTCAAACCACGCACGAACCTCGCAAAGCAATACCAGTATATATTTAGCAGCAAAAGAATCTCTCCAATGATTAGTGGCCCGCGAGCCTTCTTGGGGGACCCCTAGGCTGATGTATCAAAACAAAGAGTCTCAGGATTTCAAGAGATTTCAAGTGTGTTCACTTGGCTGACTGCCAACTGACGCACCCCCTCGGACCGCCGCTCGAGGACCATCCGCTGGGCTACGCTGGGCTACGCCTTGGACCTCAGGGCCCTCGGGGTGGACCCGGGCAGAGTTCCAAGGGTTGGCGGATTTTTCTTTATGGATCGGAAGAGCCTCAAAGGCGGTGTCTCAAACACTGGAGGGCCTCGGTCTTTCCACCTTTCTGGCTGACTTTTCTCATGTGACTCGCTTCAACCCTCGCTACCGCCCAAGGCCCTTGCGCCGACCACGCCAAGCACACGCATCCCCAACCCCCCGCCTCAGCCCAGGGAGGCGGAATTCGAGACCCCACGGTGTTGGACTGCATGGCCTCCACCGCGGTCTCCGGTCGGCGCCACACCCGGTCGGGCTCAGGTCACCGGTCGGAGACCGCGGGTGACGGAGTCGGGTGACCCTGGGAGTGGTGGAGGGGAGGTGATCGGTGGACACAAACGCATAGCAATGGATGATGAGAGGTGCTACCCCAAAGGTTGAGTTGATCCATGATTTGCCATCACCAATTTGTGCACTCAATGCATGCAAAGCATCTTACTTTGAGTTGGAGACCAAACTATGGGAAGGCGAAGCACCAACACCAAGAAACAATAAAACTGGTCTTCTCCAGTCCCTGATATCTGACAACACCAATGGGGCTACTGACTTGTTCCCTTCACGGAGCGCTTTCAACGGCGGGCTAAACCATGCAACCGACACCCGTGTGGACCACATGAACCAAAAACCAACAGCCATGCCGTCTCTCTGGGCCTGGCAAATTGAAGACCTGCAGCTTTCGTAGCTTGGATCATTTGTAGGTCCCCAAAAAACGGTGATCAAATCAGTGATACATCGGTCACCCAACTGAAAAGGGTGAGAGGGAAGACCTCCCCGCAAATCATGCCTCCTAAACACAGTTGCTGGCAGCAGGTCGAAGCGACTGTGTTTAATCCTGGATGTTGTCCCTCTTGGCCAAAATAACGACTCACTGGGTAAAGAATCTCAACTGCCGTGAAGACGCTCCAACCCTCGCGTTACAGGGACGAGGACAACTCCCAAATCATGCGCCCACGTAATCCAATTGAGTTGCTCAATGCATGTCTTTGGATCTCATTGCTCACGGACAAAAACCGTCTTGCCACGGACGTGCCACGGACGAGCTGTGCACCGGACGAGCTGTGCCACGGACGAGCTGTGCCACGGACGAGGACTAGCTGTGCCTCGCCTGCCTGACGATCCAAGTCGAACCCGACCGGCCTGACTTCGTCAAGGTCTGCCGTCGGGGCTCGCTGCCATGGCTCAGACTGCACAGACCAAGGAAGCAACCGTTCTCTTCGGGAGAGATTCCCTGGGAATCTGTGGATTGGCTTGATGACTTGAGGATGCTGACAGTTTTCAGTGAAGTAGAGATCACTTGCACTGATCAGTATTTTCACAACTGGTGACTGGTGAGTTGAAGCATTTTGTGGACTCTGTCGTCGGTCGTCGAAGATTGGGCTCATCAATACTTAGCTCCCAAGCCCATGCGCTCATGCTGTGCCATGGTGCTACTCGACTGGGCAGGCACTCTGCCGCTTAGCCATGCTCCCCACAGATTCGGGGAGATGTTGAGACTTACATATAACATAACCCATCTGGGCTCATTCATTGCGGTCATTCCTTGCTGGCAGCTAGGAGCCGGAAAAATGAACAGCAAATGTCGAGCACGTTGGGATACATTGGGGCTCTCCTTCTCTGATTCACTGTGAAACGCTGCTTCATCCCCCACAACAGCCTTCCCCGTGCTATATTTCTGGCCTTGAACGTTCACATCCTAAAGACCCTAGACGAACAGCCACAGATGGGAATCTTCACCCATTAAAGTCCACGTCCAATACCGAAGCTGGCTACTTCTTCGGATCACCCTCCATCCCCATCCCAGATCCGGTCTTTGGCTTCTGATCCAGCAGCGTTCATTTTCCGATCCTTCGGGACGTTCAGCGTTCGTTCTCCGGGAGCTCCCAACAGGTCACGCCCGTCTCCTGGGACGGTCTCACTCCCAACGGTCGGAGAAGATCCAGGTCCCAGGTTTCGTCGGATCCAAAGAGTGTCTGTATTGAAATACGGCCTATGTTCCCTCTATTTTCCATCTTCCAGGGTGTCGAAATGATAAGGTCTCCCTACTTAAACCCATTGAGATTCATCAAATCTTCCCACCAAAAGAAACGTGGAAAAGGGGACTTGTCTTCGGAAGACAAGCATTCTTTGACGCAAGCTTGGTGCGCTTAACTAGTTTTGCGCTTTTGGAGCCCTGGGGTGTGTGGAGGTGGTGCGCGGGGTGGTGCGCGGGGTGGTGCGCGGGGTGGTGCGTGAGGCGGTGCGCAGACAACACGGCCGGCGTCTACAAGCAAATTTATAGCGGTAGAAGTAGAATCCGGTTCCACGCGGTTCCTCGCGGTTTTTGGATCCGCGCGGACACCAAGACAAGACTATGTTGTAATCAATAGGCTTTTAATGGCCTTAAAAAGTTCTAACATTGGCCATTGGTGTTTGCAGATCCCGTACGACCTTCTGCACCACCCCGCGCACCACAAAATTGCCGGGCAACCCGTGCACCACCCCACGCACCACCCCACCCACCACCCAGACCTTCCCAAACCTACCCAAACCCAGAATTTAACATAGGGGTAGTTAAGCGCACTTCGCCGTGGCGAAAGCATTCTCCACTTGCAAGTGTCACTATAGTACCCCTTGTTGCTTGTTGGACTAGAAATTCTGAATATATACTGAGAGACGGTTGCACTCTTGAAGGAAGATATCCAAACCCAAACATACATACACAAAAACCTCACCCAGCCTCACGAAAAAAAAAGAAAAGCAAACCACCAAAAAACTGCACATGAGGCCAAAAGAAATCCGTGTCTGCTAAAAACCACGTGTTCTGAAACTGTTTTCATTTGGCATCCTACTTGGTCCTGGCTCTGTGGCTGACAGACGTGGAAAACGTCGCTCCGTGGCATCGGGTGCCAGTCCCGGGGAACAGGGGGTCGTGCCTCGTTGAGGAAGTAAAACTCTCCAGGGGCCTGACAGTCAGGGACCCAAAAAAAACAAGTTCCCTCCCAAAGAATGGAGTTTAACTAGCATAAGTTAACACACTATTTAGATCTGACTTCACATTGCATCAACTGTCCAACCCTTGCTTTCTTGGCAAAACCGGTCAAGCAGCAGCGGCAAACATCAGTTGCTCCCTAACCCCCACACACATCTTTAAAAGAAGAAAACTACTTGACCTGGTCCAGAAAACAACTCGACCTGGTCCACAAGGGGGGGCCTGCCATGCTGCTTACTCTCACCCCCCAAAAAATACACAAGCAAAATGAGGGACCAGGGAAGTCAATAACTCAACTCACGCCAGAAATTGGCTCGGTCACTCGAAAACATGCTATTAGTCTAATTATTCCCAGACACTCCCTGTGGGACTGGCATATTTTATATACCGTTCAGTTGGGGTGGTTGAAGGTTGGGGTCGGGGTCAATGTATGAGATATTCCATACAGGTATATATATTTATACACAACAACATACATTGAGGGAATATATTGTAAGACCATTGGGGTGGTTGTTATTCCCGTTTCCAACAGGGGCTCGTGTGTGTATTGCTCGATGTGTTGGATTCTGAAAACCAAGTCTCCCTCTGTCTCTTGGGAGATGGACATCCACCGCTGTTGATCGCTGTGTCTTCAGCTCTTAGGCAGTGCCAGAACTGAAAAAGAATGAACACCACAGTCAGGTGCTCAGAGTGCTCCACCGGCACAACCAATGTCACATGCGTTCCAAATCCAACGGGAAGGAATTGGTCCGTTTGACTTCGCTGTGTGCTGTGTGATGTCTTCATCCAACGGACCATGTGTCACTTGATCCACTTCAAGAGACCCAGCCGTTCACGATCAGTAGTCATCGGTGTGCCTGCGATCTGAATGTATGGTAGTCGGGTGGACCGGAGGACGTTGGCTGCTAGCTCTTGTTCTTTTCAGATGACCCCTACCTAGACCACTAGATGGTGGCCCCCCACCGCCCTGTCCACACGACCAAGCCGCCTCGGGATGCTCCTGCAGCGTCCAAGGCGCCGGCGGCGGCATCTTCGCCTGCGCGGCCGGTCATAGGGCCGTCCGATGGGTGTGGGGCAGATGGCTGGACCAACACCTGTAGGCAGGTCCCAAAAAAGGAGACTCAGCAAACATGTGTCCTAATGTGCAAGGTGCATGGATATTGTACCGCCTTTTTATGCCTTAATTGTTTTAAAGTTTGCTCATGGGATAGGTTCAGTTCATGGGCAATGACAAAACAAGGCGATGCACTGTGATGTAACGGGGTAACTATAAAACTTTGAAGGGAATCAAGCTACAGATAGCTACAGTATATGGCCATGTGCCACTTCCCCTAGTAGCTTCTTGTTACTAGCAGTAATGGCCTCCAACCTGCAAACACGATGGCCTCCACCTAATAGCGTCCTTGCTACTAGTCTAGTAGCTTCTTGTATCTGGCCATGTGCCTGCGAAAAGCGGCTCTTCAGCATGCAGAAACTATATGATTCTATTGTAACGCACAAGCTAAAGCTGGCTGAGTGTCGAATTCACTACGGCAGTGAACCCTCTGCCAAAAGCAGCGGTTCCTTCGCCGCTACAGGCTACAGGCGAGTGCAGTCAACAAGCACGTCCCCACGTGAGAATGGCTCAAGGAGCAGCTACACTACACTGAGCTTGTGCTTCGACTGGACTGGGAGGTTGGCACACCAACTCGCCAGGTAGATGGTCGTCGCAGTGTGTGGACGACCCCCTATCTTTCGTTCAGATGAAATGGAGTAGTCTGGGTGGATCTGTATCAACCAGCTTCCTGGGATTGTGCCATCTGAATGTCCAATCGTTCAGCCTCTACGGGGTGTGAGGTCCGTTCGGTGCTTCTTGGGGGTGAAGGACTGGAGATCAATGGATGACGCTCGTTTTGGTGTCCTCTGTTCGAAGAATCATATGGGACATTCAAACGAACTACCAGCATCACCATCATCCTCATCATCTTCATCTTCATCACCCCAAAAAATGAACGTCCAAAGCTTTGACGACCTGCTGGCCACCCAGACGCGCCCGGCCACCCCAACAACCCGTCCTCGGGTCGCTCCCAGGTGGTTTCGCCGGTCTCCTGGCGAAACGGGGAGGAGGTTCCTTAGAAGGACACCCCTTCTCGCCCCAATAGGAAGCCCCTCTCGCTGGGTAGACCGAGGGGTAGACTGGTCGATCAAACCCGAGCCGGTCTAAAAGCTCTGAAACGGACCTCAGCGGTACACCCGTTGGCTTCGGGGATACCGGGGGGTGAAAGGTTAAAAAGAACATGCAAAAGGGACACAGCGCTATGTCTCCCGAACCTTGCCCAGGGGGGTCGAATTTCTCCCTGTTTTCAAAAAAACATTTGAATACACAACCCATGTGGACGTGGATGATCTTCGCGGATGTCAAAGTCGAGTGGAAGTCGAAGTCGACACTCGTCGTAACTCATCCAGCAAGCAGAGTGGCAACAAATTCCTCACTGAAAGGGGGTGCAAACGCATGGAAGACGCATGAAGACCAAGACCTCCTCTTTTTGATGTCCCGCATTGTGCCCTGCGTTCTTCCTGTTGGTGCCTTCCTGGAGGGGATTCACTGGTATGATCCTGCCCAGCTCCCGATAGGATCCATTCAAAATAGAAACTCTCTGGGTGATCAAAGGTACTCAACTTTTTGGACCCAACACTGAACATGGAACAAGACGTCCATGTGGACCCGGGTGAAGGATCAAAAAAAAAATGATAGGGATCAAAAAAAAATTGTTTGAGGAGATCATTTTAAAAATAATTTAGATAAAAAAATATCACAGTAGTAGTAGTGGTAGTAGTAATAGGAGTAGTAGTAGTAGTAGTAGTAGTAGGAGTAGTAGTAGTAGTAAAAGTAGTAGTAGTAGTAGTAGTAGTAGTAGGAGTAGTAGTAGTAGTGATAGTAGTAGTAGTAGTAGTAGTAGTAGTAGCAGTAGCAGGAGTAGTAGCTAGTAGCTAGTAGCTAGTAGCTAGTAGCTAGTAGCTAGTAGCTAGTAGTAGTAGTAGTAGTAGTAGTAGTCCTAGTCGTAGCCGTAGTAGTAGTAGTAGTAGTAGTCGTAGTAGTACTAGTACTAGTAGTAGTAGTAGTAGCAGTAGTAGTAGTAGCAGTAGTAGTAGTAGCAGTAGCAGTAGTAGTAGTAGTCGTAGTAGTAGGAGTAGTAGTGGTAGTGGTGGTGGTGGTAGAGGTAGAAGTAGAAGTAGAAGTATGGGTAGAAGTAGAAGTAGAAGAAGAAGAAGAAGTAGTAGTAGTAGTAACAATAGTAGCAGTAGCAGTAGCAGCAGTAGCAGTAGCAGAAGATGTATTAGTAGTAGGAGTTGTAGTAGTGGGAGTAGCAGTAGCAGTAGCGGTGGTAGTATTAGTAGTGGTGGTGGTGGTGGTAGTGGTAGTGGTAGTACCAAAGAGAAGAACTATATAATTGGAAGAACAAAGAGACCAACCCAGCAGCAGAAAAACAAAAGAAGCAGTAAGAAGCAAGGAAAGGCAACACACGCACAGAAAAGCAGGAAAAGTAACAAAGCAAAGAAGCGGTGAGACGCAAGGAAAGGCGAGACATGCACAGAAGGGGAAACAAGAGCCAGAAAAGTAAGCAAAAACAAAAAGCAAAACAGTTGCCAAAGCAGAAGAATAGAAGAAGCAAAGAAGAACAAACAAAATGGAAAGCACAAAAACATAGTTTAAAAAACACAGCACAGTGAGAAAAAACAGCAGAAGTATATGCAAAAGAAAAAACGCAGCAGAAACAGAAAAGCTGCAAAAGCAGAATCCGAAAAAAAAAACATACCAAAAAACAAATGAACACATTCCGTAAAAAAATGTACCTTCCAAACATAATTCAATATCAATCTGGAGCGGTCACCAGGATATGGAACGACCAAAGAGACGAAGGGACCCGGGGACCAAGAGACTAGGACCAGCAAACCAGTAAAGCTCAAGGGACTAGGACATTCAGGAAGCAACAGAGGGAGCAAGAGGTCAAAGGGACCAAGGGATCAGGGGTTTAAGGCTTCTTTAGGCTTTGCTCACGGCTTCGCTTTTGGGTTTTCTTCTTTAGGGTTCTATTTTGGGCCTGGTTGAGGGCTTCGTTTCTTTAGGGTTTCTTTGTGCTTGGCTTGAGGTTTCACTTCTTTAGGGTTTCTTTGGGCTTGGCTTAGAGCTTCGTTTCTTTGGGGGTTCTTTGGACTTTAAGCTTCGCTTGGGCCTTCGCTTCTTTAACGTTTCTTTGGGCTTGACTTGGAGCTTTCTTGGAGGATTAAAGAAGCGGGAGGGGGTTCGGGGGAGGGCGCAGCGCCTCCCCCGTAACGCAAACTGTATGGACAGCATGTTTCAAAAGCAGCGGCGGCAGCAGAAGGATAAAGGGATGTAGCAGGAGAACCAAAGGACCAGAGGACCCAGGGACCAGGGGATCAGAGGACCACAGGACTAGAGGACCAGAAGAGCAGAGGACCAAAGGATAACAAGAGGACCAGAGGACCAAAAGGACCAAGGGACCAGGGGACCAAGGGACCAGAGGACCAAAGGACCAGCGGGCAAAGGACCAGAGGACCAAGGGACCAGGCGACCAGAGGACCAAAGGACCAAGGGACCAGAGGACCAAAGGACCAGAGGACCAAGGGACCAGCGGGCAAATGACCAGAGGACCAACGGACCAGGGGACCAGAGGGCCAGAGGACCAGAGGACCAAGGGACCAGGGGACCAAGGGACCAGAGGACCAAAGGACCAGCGGGCAAACTTTTTTTGACTTTGTGGCGCACTCGACCGCGGTCAAGAAGCGGGGCAAATCAGACGCAAAGGTCTGGCTCTTCTAAGGAGCTCATGCACCGTGGTGCTCTTCAAGTTAAAAAAAGGAGTGAGAAAAAGCGCTATTGCTGCTCACTCATGTTGAATTCAACTTCAAGCCAAGGCCATCGGCCATGGAAGGAGCGTGGCCTACGCGTTCATCAAAAGAGGAAAACAGCTGGTCGCCACCATAAAAAGAGGGTCAATCCAGCAGAGTATGCCTGCCAACACTCTGTGGGAATGCATGCATCAAAACGTCCAAGAAACAGCATCCTGGTCGGAAAAAGGAGGAAGGACCATCAAAACTTCCGGGAGGATGCAAACACGAAGTAGGCTTTTCAAGCCTGACCATCATAAAGCAGGTGTGCCTCTCTCACTGGGGCGGCTGTCATCTCAGAAGGCGAGTTGCATCTGAGGAGGGCGGCAGCCAGCGCAGCAGGCAGCATGCTATTGCAACCAGGCGGCCAGTCCTTCATGGAGTGGCTGCTCATCTGCAGTAAACAAGGTGCTCCGTGGTGCAAGGTGCTCTTCATGATATGCCAGCGCCACACGATAGTTCAGCTCCACGTGGCATTTGTGGTCCAGGTCAGTGGGTCCATCCGGTCCCCAAAAGACAATTTTGGTTCCACACCTATAGCATGGGAGCTGTGAGACACAAAACTTACTGAGGCGGTAGGCAGGCAGCGTGAAGATGTCCTGCCACAGGGTGGTATGCTTCAACCTCAAATGCCGGGTCAAGGTCTCATAGTTGAAGATCACCTTACCACAGACTGCACAGTGCACACGGAAGTATACCTCAAGCTCTCGTGGTAGGTGATCCATGTGATCTGCAGGATTCCAATCCAATTGCTTCAGGTGTTGAGCCAAGGTGGATACCCGTTGATCATGACCAAGAACAGGAAACCTTGGAAGCACCTTGGTGTGGGCATCAACCTTAATCAACCACAGGAAGGTCCAGTGCTGACGCAATACCCCATCATCAGGGAGAAGTCGAGCTTCGGCATCATCATCAAGTAGGAACCAGCCAGCCTCAGTGCGGCCAACGGCCTGCATGTGTCCACATCTGTCCCCTCCAATGTGCACCACTCCTGCAATGACCTGGTACTCAATCAAATCAACACGGAGGGTGTTGTCGGGTTGGATGGGAAGGAGAATCGTCCCTAGAACATCCAGGTGCCAGACTTGCTTGCATGGTTGACCTGAGTGGTCCAGGGCATAGCGGTCAACATGTACTCCAATGATGCGACTGTCCGTTTGAAATGAAGTGCTCATACCACGATATGTTTGCCAGCTATCAATGAGCTCCTGAACATGTACGTGCTTGCACGTTGGATCACTTGTCGACAAGGTGGGAGGCGTCCATTTTGCACCGCTATCGGAGATTTGAACGATCCCCTCTCGTTCGAGGCGGCTATGCCAAGAGACTCCGATGCTTTTTGGCTTCATCCAGTGAAGAAAGGCCTGGGTGAACTCGTGGACGTCCTGCTGTCGACCCTGCCGCCAATCTTGAAGGAATGGCTGAAAGGTCTTGAATGAATCGAGATTCACCCAGAGAGATTCCTGACTGCACAGGTCCACGTAGGCATCTTCACCAACCCCAAAGTCACTCCACATGCCATCTGCCAGATGTAGAATGGCCCACCCCATGGAAAGCGTGGTAGCATTCTGGTAGCAGGTGTTCCCGCTGTTGTGTAACCGCAAGGCTAGTAGGAGCCCCGTCATCTCTTCTTGGGGTAGCGGTCGGCGGAGTTCTTGCTTGGCCAGAGAACTGGCAAGTGGGTTCTCCCGCATTTGATGCGGTCTGAGCCTGGCCTGAATCAGGAGCCAGAGGGCTGATCCCGAGAGCAACTGGAGGAGTTCCCAAAGCCTCTGATGTCTCATACTGACTTGGATCAACCAGGGACATACCTGGGATGCTTCCATGTTCTCTCCCATGGCCTTGAGGGACTTGAAGCGGATGATCTGGTCCTGCTGCGTCGAGATCTCCACGAGCTCTTCGATCTGAGATTGCATTTTTACCATAGGAATTGGTGGTCGATCTGTCATCTTGAGTCGTCGATCTTTGGGACACCACATCAGGTAAGGCCATGCACCAGCGGATGTCAGCATGGAGGAGGCAGTTGCTTCCTTCCACAGCTCGCTGTTGCTCGTTGCTTGGGCCAGGTGACCAAAGCGTTCGGAGAGGAGTTGGATGAGCTGTTGCCATAGAACGTGCTTCAACGAGCTGGAGGCGTTCTGAGTCTCGACCTCCTTCTTCCATTTCTGCGTCCTCTGAATCAGGTGCCCCAGGACAC